CTCACTCACTCACTCACTCACTCAAGAGACACGCACACACACATACATAGTACAAACAAGCCATAGGACTCATAAGGCCACACCGACCATGTGAACGGAAGCAGGTTTGCACACTTGCATATAATGATTGCATGAATATCTGGACATTTGCGCATGTGTCTATGTTTCTGTCTATATAGCTAACTTCTAGCTATCCAACTATCTGCCTCTCTGTCTACTATCTACGTACTTTATCTGTTTGTCTCTTCTCTACGGCTTACTAACTCTGTATGTCTCCATCCTTTCGTCCATCCATCCATCCGTCCGTTCATCCTTTGCTACACACATATACATAGAGAGAGAGAGAGAGAGAGAGAGAGAGAGCGAGAGAGGGAGAGAGAGGGGGAGAGAGAGNNGAGAGAGAGAGAGAGAGGGAGGAGGTGGGGAGACACAGGGAGAGATAGATAATTGAGCTCCTGTAGGTGTACATAGCTGCACAAATTGAATTTCTGTGCCTAGGGGCGGGGAGGGAGTGGGGAGGTGGAGAGGGACGGAGAGACAGAATGACGGACGGACGGACGGAAACGGATGAAGAGGGAAATTACATACATGGCGGACGAAGTCAGAGGCCGTGAACCCAAACCGTCAAGCATACATGTTCTTCTTATACGGAAGCCGTGGATCTTAGTTGTACGTTGGGTAGATAACCTTCAACATTCTGGGCAGATACATTCGTTCCATGTCTCAGTCAGAAGGTCAACGCCTTTGAGCGATCATCAGCCGCACTTGGTTTTCAGAGCTCTCCAAAACGAACTGACTGGTAAGCTTTCACTTTGGCGTAAAGCTCTCTGTCTCTGAGGCTGAAGCTGTGAAACCCTGATGTAGGCCCCTTATTGTCCCGTTATACCCTAGTATACAGCGTTCACAGCTCAGGTCAGACCGAAGCAGAGGGTGTGCCTGCCGGGTGTTAGGGTTTAGGACTTTGTGGTTGGGGTTTAGGAATTGCGGGGTTGGGGTTGGGGTTGAAGGTTCGGGATTTTGTGTTTTTTGGGTTAAGGGCATAAAGGTTTTTTACGGGATCTAGTGGGTTTCAAAGTTATAAGGGCTTATGTCATTTTCTTCTGGGCCTTAGAGGTACGGCGGGCGGGCGCACGCTCGGAGGACCAAGGGAGTAAGTAGGTTCGTACAGAAGAAAAGCGGGTGGAAACCCTGAACCCTAAAGGGGAACAAACCATAAACGCTAAACGCTAAACCGTATAGTTTCAGCGTGTTCTAAGAGGATGAAACATGAGGTTTTAGGTGTTTAGTACTTAGAGTTTAAGCCAGAGTTGCAGCGATGGCAACTCTGTATTTGCGTTTATTTCGATGTCTGTAAGTTTGTAGCTATATTTGTAGCTATGTTTATATCGACGTCTTCATCGGCTACATCTACTGCTTTAAATTTGTGCCCACGTATAACACTCTGTTCTATTCATCCAGGTCACCTTTTAGGGGCTAGGTCGGCCAGGTAGGTAACATTCAATCTTTTCAGGCTTGTATACTTGTATCATCCCCGACAAACCCAAAAACCAAAGCATGAGTACAGAGGTTAAGCCCTAAACCCTACCCCTAAACCCCTAAACTCAAAATCTAAAGAACCCTAAGGCCTTAACCCTGGTTTGGGCTGGGATACTCAGCATGTCCGTCTCGCCGCCTCCAATTAGGTCCAACATTGAGGCCCTTGAAGACAGGGTCGGCTTAGGGTTTAGGGCTTTAGGGGTTTAGGGTTTAGGGTTTAAGGTCTAGGGTTTAGGGTTTAGGGTCTAGGGTTTAGGGGTTTAGGGGTTTAGGGTCTAGGCTTTAGGGGTCCAGCGTTTCGGGTTTAGGGGTTTAGGGTTTAGGGTTGGGAGGGGGAGGGTTTAGGGTTTTTTTTGCTGGCTTATGTGGTGTTCTGGGAGCTACCTGGAAGCGTAGAAGTCTGTCCCTGTAACGAGGATTACGGCAGAACCTGCTCGCGGAGCCCCCGGGACTATAACAAGATAAACCATAGGGTTTAGGGTTTAGGGCTTAGCATAATATTCATGACCACCAATGGAGATTTGATTATAAAGTCGAATCGAATTCTGTACTACTTGGTCTCCGTCAGGTTGCTGGATTTTTGCAGCCAGTAGGTTAATATAGGGGCCTAAACAACTACAAATATAGTTTTGTTTTTGGGCGGGGGGGCTCCTGTTCTTTGTTGCAGGTACAGTATAATGTATTCCACAACCTTATTCCAATTTTTCAGGCCCCTTTATGCAACCCCTAAACCCCAAACCCTAACCCCATCCTAATCCTTTGCTCAGCAGCTGCATGCTGGCGATCCAGAAATGGAGCTAAACCTACATGGACGTGGAGAGTCTGTGAGTGTGCACAAGGCTCCATACCCATCCTTGTCGCCGTTGCACCGGCTCGAATTTGCATTGAGGCGCTCGTACATGTCCATAGAAGACATCCAACGGCCGTAGCTGCACAAATCAGATGCAGAAAGGACATAGCAAAGCATCTTTCGCTACGCACTTGAGGGTATCTGCGCACGAAACACCAAGCCAACAAGCGCGGAGGATGCTGAACATGGGGATGCGGGAAGTAGGGCGCAGGCTTTAGACCCGAAAGTCGACTTCCCGAACCCTGGACCTGACTTTCAGACCTAGGCCTGCCGTAGATATTGTATCCTACACCTTGAGCTATACCCATAGGCACCTAAGTAGTTCCTTTTTGTGGATTATGGTTAGAGTCCGATAAGGTAATCCCAAAAGGGAGCTACTTAGGGGCCTATGGGTAAAGCCCGAAACCCAAAGACCTTAAACCTTAAAAGCCACAATTCCTAAACCCAAATGACCTGAAACTCGCAACGGGCAGCTGATACTGAGATGTAGAGGGGGACACAGGGGGTGTTGGGGGTTCTTGCGCTTGCCATTGCGGGGCTTGTTGTGAGATCCTGTATTGAATTGTGCTTTATACGGTCCACGTTGCGGCAATTGCTGATGTTTTTGTCGGAGTCCTCGCCGGTTGTGCAGCAGCGTTCATCGCGAAAATACACGACGGAGGAGGCTGTGGATTTGCACGACACCGTCCCGCCAGACCACTGGTGCGTCACCCGGTCAGACCTGCAGTACCTGCAGAGGGAGGTGCAGAGGGCCATTGACGTCGGTGAGATCCAGCCACCGGAAGATGGCTCTGACGATTTTAAGGATTGCGGAGAGCAGTATGGGCCGAGCATCTACACTGTGAACATACAGCACATCATGCCAGTGACAGAGATGGCTGGCAAGGTGAGCTGGGCCTTGATGCGACATCCAGATGGCTTAGAATGCGAGCTGTTCATCAGCCACGCCTGGCAAGAAGGCATTTTCGAGTTCCTGTCCAAAGTCTTGCATTCTTGGCCCGCGGATGTGCGGCATGCCTGGTGCTGCATGCTGGCTAATCCACAAAACCTGGACATCGGTGCCATGCTGCAGTCTCCAGGCACTTCGCCTTTCGCACTGGCTCTCGAAGCCTCTACGTACGTCCTCGTGGTTCCAAACCGCCACTGCAGCATCTACACGAGGCGGGGACATGCGTGGAAACAGAGCTGCATGATTGCTGGCCGCGACTAGACTTGTCAGCACAGGCCCATTGCCTTGAATCGTGTACTCTGAGTGTTGAAGTTGATTCCCATCTTTTTCTGCACAGGCTGTGCCATGTTTGGAGGGGTTTCGAAACAAGAACATGCACGTGGAATTGCCTCAGAAGCATGTGCTTGAGGCATTTGCCTCAAAGTTGCCGTGCTTGCGCAGGGTTTTCGCCTTTTCGTAGGAGGCTGTTTTGGGAACTTTGACAGACAGACGCGTGTCGACCGCTTTTTCGCTGTTTGTTGTGCAGCATCCGGACAGTTTGGGAGGCCCCGGAGCCTCCAGCTAAGGAGGCTCCGGCACCTAAAGACTTTGTTTCGCCACTGCCATGGTGGAAACCCTGGAAACCCTACACCCCGCTCCAAGCCCGAACCAACCAAGGCCCCAAACCCTGAAACCCTACACTGCCCTACAGCCTCAAAGCCTTGCTGCAAGAAGGCTCTGGTGCGGCTACGAAGCATATCGAGCCCACGAGCAGGGAAAGGTGATCGTCATTGCCCGAGCTTCAAACCGGCGACAGATTTTTGCGGCGGTGATTCGGACGATGCTCTCCGGACCCTGGGTTCAGGGAAACCCTGAATCCCACACCAGAACCCCGACACCAAAGGATTTCGGTTTAGGTTTTAGGGTTTCGAGTTTAGGGTTTAGGGTTTTGCTCCAACTCCGGGCGAAGTGGAAAGCCTGTTGCAAAAAGGGTTTCGAGTTTAGGGTTTCTCGTTTCAGGCTTTAGGTTGTAGTATTTAGAGTTTATGGGGTTACGGGAGCAGGGTCTGAGCCACGAGCTCTAGCCTCAACCACCAAGCGACGAAGGGAGTTTAGGGTTTAGGTGTTTAGGGCGAGCTCAGTTCAAGCCTGTGGAAAAGGTGTTTAGGGCCTTTGAGGACTGAGGGTCTTGGTTCAAAGCTAACCCGTGAACCCTAAACCCTAAACCCCAAGCCCCTAAACTTGGCCCTAAACCCGAATCCATAAACCCTGAACCTTACACCCTATAACTAAACCCCAAACCCCTAAACCCCTAAACCCTGAAGCATCCATTTCAAACACCTGAGCAGGCCTCCCCCAGGCGCCCCTTAAACAAAAAAACATGCCTGTAGTCTCCATGGTACGGTTGATGATATAAATCCTGCACTACCCATAATAGGGAATATACCATAATTCCCATAGTTTAGGGTCCTTAAGGTAGTGCAGGATTTATATCATCAACAGTAGTTCCTTTTTTTTGGAATCCTATACACGGCATTTAAGGTTTATAGGGCTTAGGGTTTATAGGGTTTAGGGGGCAACCCCCAAAAAGGAACTACAATGGAGAGTACGGGTAAACCCTCGGTTCTATTGTTCTATCTTTCAGTGTTTTTGAAGCTGCTGGCAGCTTGCGGATACGTATTCGCCCCCCCCCCCGTCATTTCAGGGTTCTATAGAAAATCAGTTCAGGCGACGTTTAGGGTTTAGGGTTTGGGGTATGTGATTGGAAAGGTTGCAAGCTTGTTGAGTGTTGAGGCTTGCATGTTGAGTCCGTGTCGCAGGATCCTTGGGGATCCTATCGGGTATGTGGGCATCGCAGAACCAAGCACATGACTGGCATGCCTTGCTGTTGCTCGTCGTCACCTTTGCTGCATTTGCCAGCGCTTCCTTGGAGAACAATCGTTGCCGCATAATCTTGAACAATCTGGGCACCGCCGTCAGCTGCGCATTGCTCCTGCAATGGCAGGAAATTCATGAAGTGTTTGCGTTTGACGGCTACGCTGCGAGAGTACCATATATGGAGCAACACTTCGTCATTCTAGTTGGCGCGAGTTTCTTCATATTGTTGGAGGTTGACCGTGTCAACGGCAGAACCAGGACACAAGAGGCCCTTCAGCTCAGCCGTCAGTTTCAGGGCAGCATTGCACATGCAAAGTGTTCCAAAGCATCCGATGGGCACCGGATTTTGATGGAAATCGGCGAGAAGATGTCTGCAGTGGATCATGCGATCCATGTGCTCCTTGCAGCTGGGATACTCGGTTTTTGTTCAGGAACTTAGCTTACACTTGTCATAGCACGGATAGATGGTGCAATCGCAGGCTTTGCTTATCATGATTGCGTATGCGTATGCGGAGATCGTTAACATCCGTAGAAACAACATAAATAAAGAGCAGGCAAGTAGACATAGAAGCCTGCCTAAATCCTTGTTAATGCCCGAGAAGAACCCTAAACCCTAAACCTAAAACCGGTTTGTACCCTGCAATGCGGGCTCGTCCTAGCAAGAAACCCTAAATCCTAAGCCCTAAACCCTAAACCCTGAACCCTAAACCCTAAACCCTGAAACCCAAACCAGAACCCAGGATGTCGACTCCGACGCTTCGCGAGGTGGCTCGTGCAGGAGTCGACATACAGAACGCAGGCCATGCCGAAGTTGCCGTCCCTGTTTGGGCGCTCCTAGACAGGATTCGGATGTGAGGTTTAGGGGCCATATATCTCTATGTCTGTATAAGATTATACATATATATATACACATACATACATACATACATACATACATACATACATACATATGTTTGTTTGTTCATATTTTTTACGTATATGGGCGTGTAGGATGTGATTTTGAGGTTCTTGGTTTACGGGTGGTGTTCTAAGTCTAGGTGGGACTGGGATACTCTTATAATGTCCCTTCTGGGGCCCTTGACTGACAACTCAGGTTTATGACTAGCCTGGTGACTTGTGGCCATGTGGTCTTCGACAGCGTCTACATGGACACCCCGTGGTACTGTTTCTTCTTTGAAGGTGTCAGCTGTGTTGCTCGGTTTGCTTTGCTCGGCATCTTGTGGCAAAGCGCCAGGGATGAAAGATGCTTCATCTTAAAGATGATGACCAAGATTGTCGTGCTTTACGTACTTCTTGCCAGCCCAATGGTGTTTGTTTGGGAGTGGAGGGCATCTGAAACTCGGTGGTTTACATCATACATTTGTTGCGGTCTTCTACAAAAAAAAACCTCGGGTTGCTCGGTGCGCAGAGTGCAGACACAGAGACAGATATAAAGCCTCACGGACAACTAGCTGGACATGGTTGCAAGAAGCTCACATACATGCGTGCATGCATCTATAGACACACGGAGGCATACGGACATGCATGTCGCTAGTTGTGCAGTGCATGTTATATTCCAGGTTTGTGTGTATGAAGCTTAACCTGACATGCGCCACATATGCACACAAGTACTTCTGAATTCTCCCTGGTGTCTACTACCTGTAGTCTGCATTGTAGTTCCTCTTTGGGGTGGCCTTCTGGGATCCTAAAGATACAACTGGTGTTATAAACTCTCAACCCTAAACTCGAAACCCAAAGCCCCAAAAACTCTAAACCCTAAACCCTAAACTCCCAGGTTCGTCCGAGTGTGAGTGCTGAAACCCTAAACCTACAAGGAAATGCATTCTCCGAGTCGAGCTTGGTTTGTCATTCCTGCCCTGGTCTACACGTCCATCCTCGCTCTCTCTTGTGGCTTGGAAGCTTCCGGGTTGATTCAGGTTCCTGCAAAGGATCTATATGGGTTCCTTTAAGGGATCTGTAGGGGTTTAGGTTTTAGGGCTTAAGGGGTTTAGGAGTTTGGTGGTTTCGGGGTTTTGGGTTTAGGGTTTGGGATTTAGGGTTTGTGGCTTTAGTTGGGGCATTAGGGTCCAGGGCTTTAGGGTTTATGGCTTTGAGGATTAGGGCTTAGGGAGCTCTTGGGGTGTAGTCTCTCAGTGCCAGAGTACGAAACATTACGCAACCAGTTCACATCAAAGGGGTTTTGGGACAGTTGCCCCAGCTTAAACATTGCCTGCAGTACAGAAGTCAAGAAAACTGCCTTAACCGAAGAAGCCTGTAAAGCTTAAGCTCTTTAGCCCCAAATCCATGAATCCTACGCCATGAGCCGTGACACCCTAAACCCAAATCTTAAACCCCGAACACCGACGAACTATGCAGTCGGTTCTTCGTCTCTCTCTCGTCCGAGTGCGGGAGGTAAACCCCTAAACCGTCCAATTGCGGTTATAATAGGGGCTTTCTGCAGGTTCTTTGTGAGTTCTATAGAGGGCTTCGAAATAGTGATTAATATTGACCCCTTTATCGTCCTTATAGTCCCTGTATACTTACACAGGAATGCATCCGGGACTGCATCCATTCAACCATACATCTTTACACACTATATACACCCTAAGCAGTAAAACCCCTTTACACCCTACGTAGCAGTGAGTCATATACTGGCTGGAGCCCTTCGCAACCATGCGTCACTGGCCCAAAAGCTCTCGTGTCCACGCTCTTCCCTGTTAGGGTGGCCTTATTTGTGAGGTTTAGGGTTTGATGCAGAAAAGGGTTAGGATGAAACAAGGTTAAGCAACTTGCTGAATGCTATAATGCACACTTGGGTCAGAGTCATCGGCACCTTCAGTCGGATCAACCTGTGTCTATACCACGACATTCCTTACACGTCTCGTCAGCCTGGGAGTATCGTCGTAGTCTCCCGAAGGCCTGCTATGCACCAGCTTAGTGACGAGTAGGGTTTAGCGGCGTTCAGGGTTGGGAGCAGAGTATCAAGGGACTACAGGAGGGCTTTAGGGCTCTAGGGCTTTAGGGCTTTAGGGTTTAGCGTTCAGGGTTTGGGAGCAGAGTAGGACTTCTTTGAGGTACAAAAAGAACCCCTAAGACCCTAAGACACGCCCCTTAGTTCCCCTAGGAAAGGACAAGCCTAAAGTACACCCGAGATGCCTGTCTGTTGAATTCTGAAAGTGGCTCTACGCGCGGCAGCAGATCCAAAGCTCGAAAATACTCCTGCATCGCAGGGACTGGAAGCATAACTCCCCAAACCATAACCCTTAGCATCAAAATAGCCCAAAAGCCTTATATAGTAGGATCTTTGGGTCCAAAAGCCTTAAAATATGAGTCCTTCGAGGGTAAGGGTAAGCACTTCATGAAGGTCTTGGTATGCGTCGCGTGCTGGCCTTGCCTGGACATGGGCAATGCCTGCTACAACTCTTCCTGGCTCGCGGGCGCAGCATCTTACCCAGCGCCCGCTCTTTAGAGAACATTTTGCTTTGTTTCTATTTCCATATGCGAGAGCTCCGGCCCCGGCTTATTGGAAGGATAGCTGTGTTGGGTGTCTAGTCACGTTTCGTGACAGCAGTAGCTGTAGCGGTAGCAGTAGGAGCAGCAGGAGCAGCAGGAGCAGCAGCAGTAGTAGCAGTAGTAGTAGTAGTAGCAGCAGCAGCAGCAGCAGCAATAGTAGTGGCAGCAGCAGCAGTTGTCGTAGTCGTAGTCGTAGTAGTTGTCTTCGTAGTCGTAGTAGAAGCAGTATTAGTAGCGGCAGCGAGCAGCACATGCCTTTCATCAGCCTTCAGACCCGGGAATCACCTACACTTGCTGCAGCTTTTCTTCGCAACCCAACTCTTGCGAACGTGTTTCCAAGCCTTAAATTCCAAAACCTTGAGCCCTAAAAATTAAAAGATCCTTCCATCCGAAGCCGGCTGAGGTGCTCTTTCCTTTTGTGCCTTACGCCCCGGCTCTGACTCGGAAAGCGAATCTGCCGCGACCTTGCTCTCCACGGACTACAGCTCGGAGTAGTCCGCGAGCAGCACAACAGTGGCAAGTGGTGATGGCAGTAAGTATAGTTTAGGTATGTATACACCACCTGTATTTCTTGTATAACTCGTATGTACTCACAGCGACTTCTTTGTATGCCTGCCCATGCGTAAGTGTGTGTATATATATATACACACTTAAACCCTTGGCCCAATAATCCGGAAGCCCCACTTCCTGCAGCCTGAAGAGAGTCTCATGCATGGAACAGACCGTCTTGAGTTTGCGCCCATGAACCCCCTAAGCTTGCCCAACTAAAGCCTGAAGGTCGAAGCCTGTAGTCTTCACCGATCACAGCCGCCATAAACCCACACACACACACACACGCACACACACACACACACAGACAGACACCAGATAGACAGAGCTACATGAAAGAAAGCTTGGTCGGCAAGGCAGTGGCTCTTTTAGAGGGATCCTTTCCGGTCTTCTTTCAAGTAATATCAGAGCGATGGTTTGAGTCTGATATTGGAAGGTTTCACGAGACTTCATGTAGGCCGTGGTAATCTTTTGAGCCTCCCCACAGATTCAGAAAAGCGAGCTTAGGGCTAAGGTTTTCGAATTCAGGCGTCCCTAAATTTCAATACGCATGTTTGATGGTCTGGTCCTCACATGCTGACATCGGACCACCTCATACACAGTTATAGACATTCTACGAAGTCGTCGGTTCAGGTGGGGTTTACCTATAGTCTCCATTGTGGTTCCTTTTTGGGGTTACCTTTTAGGATCCTTAATGCAAAATTAGTTAAACCAAACAAAGGAACTACAATGGAGACTATAGGTAGGGTTCAGGATAGTTTCGGGCGGGCTTGGCGGATTGACATCCAATTCTCAGCAGGTTCTGGTGGCTCTGTGTGGGTGTCTTGTAGGGCTGCTGAGTGATAGGCTCTAAACCGGAGGTTCACAACAGAGGATGGGAGTCTCTTTGTTTTGCACTTTCATCCCCCTGCAAGGCCGTAAGCCCCAAGCCAAGTCAGCAAACATTTGCAATAATCCTCGCCCCTAGACGCTAGACCATAAATCACATCTTCACAGAACCCGGTGAACCCACAACTTTACTGAGAGCACCTACTATTTGCCACGTAGGTTTGGTCTACGGTTTGCAGCCGGTAGCCCCAGACCCTAGTATCGGTTTGGCGCAGACCTGCAGCAAGCCATGCAGCGATCTTCAACAAGATACACCACGTGGGAGGCTCTTGCGTTGCATGAGTCCGTTCCTGCAGACCGCTGGTGCGTTACTCGCTCAGACCTGAAATACTTGCGGCATGAAGTTCGGTCGCTAGGTCGTTGAGCGGAACTCTATGCAAGGTTATTTTGTGGTATCCTTACAAAAACGAAATGAGAATAGGAAAAGGATAGCCATCGTATTCAGGGGCCACCCAAATCCCAGGAAGGCTATTCAGACTGGCGAGATTCGCCCGCCAGATGACGGCTCTGACGCTTTTCATGTGTCTGACAACGAGTACCTTGGCCTACTCAGTTTAGAGCTCAGACTCAGAGTTTCTGTGGAGTCCTACTATAAGCCCGAATATCAAGGTCATGAGGACCCTACAAAACGTAAACTGTAATTCGGTAAGGTATGGGCCGAGCATTTACACCGTGAACATGCAGCACATCATGCCCGTGACAGAGAAAGCCGGCAAGGTTAGCTGGGCTTTGATGCGACACCCGGATGGCTTGGAATGTGACTTGTTCATCAGTCACGCCTGGCAAGAAGGTGTATCTTGGATAGCCAATGGGGGAGCTTTAAACTTTTTGGGATTCATATATCAGGTCTATCCTAAACAGTTTGAACTTTTTTGTGCCTGGTTGTTGAAGAAGAGAGGTGTTCGAGTTCCTGTCCAAAGTCTTACATTCCTGGCCTGTACGTGAGCGCCATGCCTGGTGCTGCATGCTGGCCAACCCACAGAATCTGGATATTGGAGCCTAGGTAGGTCTTTGGTTGGACATTTTATCTTTTCCCTTACCTTTGCAGAAGAGGCTCCTATTTACGAATATTTACCGCAAGCTCTAGGCCGTAAACCTTAAGGGGCCAAACGAGGAGCATTGCTACAGTCTCCTAGCAGCTCGCCCTTTGCGCTAGCCCTGCGGGCCTCCAGCCACGTGCTTGTGGTGCCCAACCGCCACTGCAGCATCTACACGAGGCAAGGCTGTGTTCCCACAGGGCCCTAAGTACCTATATGGTAGAAGGTAGGGTGTCTTTTTAAGAGTTAACTAGGAGCCATGATTATGATTTCGGAGAGTATCCCCCATATCAGTATCTGGGACCGTTCAGGATTCAGGATGGCAAGATAGCACGGGGCCCACAGAAGCTTTGTATTCATATCGGGGAGTAGATCGAGGGGCCGGAAGAAAAAAGTATCAGTGTTAAACCCCCCGCGCGCCCCCCCGCAAGGGTTATTCTAGGTTTCATCTATTTCGATAACCATCACTGAGCCGGACTGTTGATATCTTTTGATTGTAGGAGCCAACCCTTCCGATAGTCCATGCTAGGGTATATTTTGACTAGAATTAATCTAGTATCTTTGCACGTATTGCCTTGCAATGCATGTTTCCTTCTCGAGTTGCTCCTCTGCGAGAACGCATCCAAAACATAGCAAGACGACAACCGGTGACGCCGATTTCCGTGCACGGCAAGCTGCTATCAAGAGCACCGGGAAAACCCTGAACCCCAAGACTTTGGGTGGCAGTGCGTACATCCACCGGGCTCACTTGCCATGCGCCTCGTGCAAGGCAACTGAAACGTGCTTGGCCGTTGTAGTTCGAAGTCGCAGACGTGCGAGCTATCCTTCCCATCATGATCGATGCCCAAAGCCCTAACCGAACCCGAAACCCCAAGTCTTGCTCACCAGAAGCTCTGGGCCTAGGACAGCTCGTCGCAGCAAAGCCTCCCTCACTCCAAGCCGACCTAGTAAGCAGTTTGAGCCTCAAGTCCTGACAACACGCAAATCGAAATTTCGCAAAGCCCCGAAGCATCCCGAGCCCAAAAGCCGAAGAGAGTGCAGCCTAGTCTGTGCTGCAGAGGCTATGGTGCAGCTATGAGGCATATGTTGCTCAAGAAGCTGGCAAGACGATCCTCATTGCTAGAAAATCCAACAGGAAGCTTGGATGGGGGTTACGCTGTGTGCCATGGATAGAACGCAGAGTTGTTGCAGATTCGTGCAACACAAAGATCACGCGTGCCATTCTTTGAAGGGCCTCACCAAACCGACCGTGTTACACAGAATTCTCGAATGCGCACCAAGTTACGCTCCGGCATGCATGGCAAACGATGTGAAGAACCATCGTACCTGTGCTTTAGCAGTACCGACAAGGTCCCAGGTCTGAATTCACATCCAGGCGATAGAGACTGGCTTTGCCAAATGGCAGACTATTGGTGTTGCAAATGGTGAGCTCTGCAATAGATAAAGCTTGAAACCAGCCCCACATGGCAGATCAACACCACCTCTGCTTCTGCAGGAGACTTTTGATTGCTGCCATGGCTTGGACCTTGTTGACAGGCCTGGTGCCCCTTTGCAGGGTGTGCCAGTGGGGGGGCGGGGTGTTGGGTTCACCTCAGACCGGGTCATAAAAGCACAGTACATACGCACACACACACACATATATATATATATATGTGACCATATATGCTCACACCCCCCCCCCATGATCCACCCGAGCCTTCTTGCCATTTGTTCGTCCACAGTCTTATGTTTCCCAATGCTTTTCCGAGGCCCAGAAACCATCGGCATTTGCAGTGGTTTCTGCACTCCACACATACTGACCTCTACTTATTGTGCTTG